TTTATGATGAAGCTTGGGTGGGAAAATGGTGAAACCAGGATGTTTTACCAACGTTTACGGGGACAAGGCAGCAAAGAAATGAGCCGTTTACAGATGGATGACTCATTTTCAGAAAGAATAGGCAATACCGAAGATGAGGTCCAAAGTGTCAGGCCATCCACATTACTTTGTGAGGAAATAACTCATCTTGTTTGCATTCTAACGGAAAGGGACTGGCAATCAGTGTCGGCAAAAACTATAGGCACCAACTACAGGCATCTCCAGTGGCTCCGCTCTCCCCATCCTCACTGGACAATTAAAGAGCCAACTTTCCAGTCAATAGGTATCAACACTGGCACCCTAGAGCAGTGAGACACGAGCCAAGCTTTCAAAGGGCATTTGAAACGAGTGGGATGCGATTCTGAAGCACTTCTTAGAAGAACTGTAGCAGGCGAGGAAACATGTTGCTGAAGACAAGCACGGAGCAATGGTAACCCAGAGTGGACGTGGTCCCATCAAAGCAAAAGTAAACTCAGCAAGAGCTAATACCAGTTTTGGGGGATGATCAAGGCATTTCGCATGTTGGCATCTTGCATGGAGAGCCAAAGAGAGTCGTGAGAAAGGTAGCTAAAACTTTAGCCCGAGAGTGCCCAGGAAACGTCATCAAGACAAAGCTCATTCCAGCTCATTCCTCTCCTCAAACACGGGCAACCGTGTGCAAGTTTCTGAGAAAAATCACAAGGCAGGTCTTATAGCCCCGATTGGGCTCCTTCTCGCTTCCATTTCCTAATCTTTCAAAAGCCTGAAGGGGCATCCGTTTTCTTCTGCTAATACTGTAGAAAAGAGTGACTGAGGTGGTTAGACTCCCAGGACCTTTGGTCTGCAGGGCTGGTATCATTACTAACAAAAGTACCTTGAACTTGATGAGGCTTATGCTTACAAATAAGTGATTTTAAAAATGTTTATCTTTTAATTATAATTTGCCACACTTTAAAGTCCCTTTGTTTATTAGTTCTTTTATCAGTTAAATATCTTTAAATATGTTTTTCCAACTGATCTTTTAACTTTATGCTTTCATTTTTATATAATGGAAATTATTTATCTTTTTCTTAGAATTTCATGTAATACTTGGATAGGCATTGCCCACAATTATAAATCTTTTCTTCCATGATCCTATATTCTTAAAGAAAAATTCTTGTCTCCACTTGCTACCAGTAAGTGTTACGATTTTTCAAAGGAATTAATTTCTCACCCATTGGTATCAGAACTGAAGTGTTTTCCTTGTAAGAAGAAAGCCTACGTGGACATGGTTAACTAATTCGCTTAAGGTCTAAATAAAATTATGGCAAGTACTTCATTCTATCCCCAAATTCTTTTTCTACAGTCTTTGGTCCAGTTTTAATTTATCCCACTCGTCATTTTGTGAATTTGTATACACTGCCTAAAATCCTTCCCATAGCAAGGCAGAATATAAATTCTCAAGGTAAAACAATATGTAAAGTAATAAAAATATATTTTAAAAACCTGCGAAACCAAAACACCCAAAGGTAACCATTAAAATTTTAATAAATAAGTATATTGTATATTCAGTTCTGCATGCATATTATTAAAGTATCCCTGTTATTATAAATCCTCTGAATAAACATAATTTTCAAAGACTACCTGATATTCTAAGGAGCCTGGTGGTGCAGTGGATTAAGAGTTGGGATACTAAGCACAGTGTCAGTGGTTCAAACTCACCAGCCACTTTTTGGGAGAAAGATGAGGCTTTCTATTTCCATTAAGATTTAGGCTTGGACAGCGAGTGGTCAGGGTAAAATATGAAAATAATAATTTATCAAGAGGTCACGAGGGTGGAAGGGAGGGAAAAAAGAGAAGCTGATACCAAGGGCTCATATAGAAAGTAAATGTTTAGAAAATAATGATGGCAACATATGCACAAATATGCTTGATATAATTGATGTATGCATTATTTGTTATAAGAGCTGAAAGGGCCCCCAATAAAATTATTTTTACCCTTACAGAAGGGTCTCGGGGAGGAGATGAGCCAGTCCGAGTGCGATGTAGCTACGATGAAACATACAACTTTCCTCTAGTTCAATGATTTCCGCCCCCCCATCATGATCCCAATTCTTACAATATGATCCCAACCTTACAAATAAGCCTAGACCAGAGGATGTACACTGGACACTGGTACAGATAGGAACTGGAAACACAGGAAATCCAGGACAGATGATCCCTTCAGGACCAGTGGTGTGAGTGGGGATACTGGGAGGGTGGATTGGAATGGGGGAACGGATTGCAAGGATCTACATATAACCTCCTCCCTGGGGGACGGACAACAGAAAAGTGGGTGGAGGGAGACGTTGGACAGGGCAAGATATGACAAAATAATAATTTATAAATTAGCAAGGATTCATGAGGGACGGGGGAGGGAGGGGAAAAATGAGGATCTGATGCCAGGGGCTTGGGTGGAAAACAAATGTTTTGAGAATGATGAGGGCAATTTAAAAAAAGATCTTTAAAAAAAAATAAAAGATTTAGGCTAGGAAACCCTAAGGAGAAGTTTTTCTGTCCTACTGTGTTGTTGTGAATTGGAGTCTACTCAATGAGCCTGGTATTCCTCCTGTGACTCTACTGCTGCTTTTCCAAGGGCCTGTGCCAATTCCTTTTGAAACAAGCCAAGTAGAAGGGTGTTTGTTGTCCACATCCTTATAATATTTGGGTCTCCTTTTTGCAAACAACGTCAGAAACATTTTTTAGTGTGAAAGATCAAATGGTATGGTTGGTATGTATTTCCTTTTCTCTGAGAATTACTGAGGATCGATACCTTTTCAAATGTCTGCTTTTCGTACCATTTTAACTTTTTCCATAAGCAACCCTGGGAGCTAAATACTAACCTGAAAGTAGATGCTGAAGAGAGGTAGCATTATGTTTGAGAAAATCCTCATTGAAACTTTCCAAATCCTTGTTGACAAATATTTTCTGCATTTCTTGAGAGAGAACTTGATTAACAATGTCTGGAAGGTTACTATGATTAGACACTATAAGATGAAAACAATTGAATTTCCTGTTATTGTTGGTTCAGATTTCTTTTAGCAATTCCTTTGGTTTATCTTTGTGCTGATTATTAAACTTGATATAGCTTACATAATAAAGTATTGCTGTACCTTTAGAATCCAAGTACATTCTAGACTAAAAATGCCCTAAATTCTAGCAATCTTTACCAGCATATTTTTATTTAATCGTATATAAACATACATTTTCACTTAATCATACAAAAATTACCTTTTTATACTTACCAGATTTAGAAAACTTAATCAAACATTCATGTAGCCATGGGTTATTACTGTTTATGGCAAAAGCTCGTTTGACAGACTGTAGCATCAACAGAAACTTTCCTGCATCAGAAAAAAAAATCACTACTGATGTCTGTGATTTTCTTCACTTTGTTAGCCTCACCGAAAATCCATAATCAGGAGTTACCTTTGCTATCAAATACCTGGGCAAAATTAAAAGCTGACTTTTGTTATCAAAGATCAGTTTTATTTTATAAAGAAAAGTTTGGAAAAAAACTTGAATGATTACATCAGGTCCATATTAGTCTGTACGGTCATTCAAAATAGTCTTAAAATGGATTTAACTGTAATATTCAAATTTATAACCCAACAAAGTTTAAAGCAGCACAGGAAAGAAAAGAGGAGATTTTGTTAAAATAGGACTATGAGAAATAAAAACTGGTCTAACCGACAAAGAGTATACTGAACATGGTCACTGTTAAACATACATAGGATCTAAAGCCAAACTCAATCCAAACTGTTCGTTACCTTTTCTAAAATATATTTCAAATGCTAATAGATGAGTGTCAATATTATCAGCAACAAGGTTCTTAAGAGGTATAAGGAATTTGATCGCTTCTTCTAGTGGATTTTCTACCTATTTTGAAACAAAAAAAAGAAAAAAAATTTTTAAGTGGCTGTACGAGCAAAATCTTCCCATTATACTACATAATTTAATCGGTTTCTTTTTATATCACCAAATAAGCAGCACGATTTAATTTTAAAATATTTTAAAACTATCTATAACAAATACAAAAAAATACAAAGTATATAGACAACCCCTTTTTAAAAATGGAAATAGTTCTATTGTTTTTTTATAAAATCAATACTATTTTATAAGAATTGAAGAAAATACAGAAAAGTATTCTACATACTTGAGATGATATAACAAGTACAGTCTATAATACTACAAACATCTAAAATAATAGGACAAATACAACAGCACCATATAACTGGGGGGAAACTATGACAAATTTGAACACTTACATTTGATTAATAGTGAACAAATCTGAACGCTAAGTATTTCTCTAATCTGAGCCCTAAATATCTACTGACACTGAGAGAGAAATCTAGAAATGAAGTTCATGTAGTAGACACTGTCCGCTAGCTCGAAAGACAGGGCGCTTCAGTGAGCTAAAATCTATTCCACAGCACACTGCGCGAGTAAGAACAACAAAATGCTTCTCTCATTTTTAACAGGTATTCGTTTTCCATTGCTGCTTTAACAAACTACTACACTTAGAGGTTTATAGAGTTCTGGAGGGTAAGCATCTGACATGGGTCTCACTGGTTGTGCCGATCTAAATGTTGGCAGGAAGGACTATGTTTCTTTCTGGAGACAATCCATTGTCCTGCCTTTTCCAGCTTCCAGAGTCTGCCTGCAATCCCTGGCTTGTGACACCCCTTCTCCCTTCTCTGTCTCTCTCTCACACTCACACACAAACACTCATTTCCATCTTCAGACCCATCAGCAGGTTGAGCACTTCTCACATGGCTTCAGTCAGACCCCTTCCTCCTCCCTCTCCCATTTCCAAAGTGGTTACACTGGGCCCACCTGGATAATACAGGCACACCTCCCAGGCTCAAGGTCAGCCGATCAGCAACCCTTCTGCCTTTAAGTGATCATGTGCATAGGTTTCAGGAATTAGAACTGGGATTTCTTTGGTGGCCACTACTCTGTTAGGCACAATGAGAAACATCTCTGCATCCTGTGTATTAGCAAACATTGCCTGTTATCCCTCACAGGTAATCTTAGTGAAATGAAAACACTGAAAGGGCTTCTGATTTATAGATTTAAATAAATTGTATTTATATCCAAAGCTGCACCCAATGAACATAAATTTTACCAAACAACATAAAGACAGTTAAACTCATCCCACCCTTTCTAATCTTTCAGGTATAAATTCTTCCTTGAGACCAGTGGCTTCTTCCTCTTCTTCGTCTCTTTTTTTCTTTGGGTTTTTCTGTTGCCGCTCCCTTTCTGCATGCTTTCTCTCTTCTTCCAGCTTAGCCTTTTTCTGAGCTCTTCTCTGCTTGCTAAGCATTTTCTTCAATTCTTTGGCAGACAGGTTTTCTATAAACAGCCAAATGAACCAAAATTCTCATTAAAGCAGTGTTTCCATTTCCCCACACACTCTTTGAAATTACCTTAGAATATAATTTCTGGGGGAGGCAACTATACAAATGTTTTTAGAAAATGTATCCCCAGTGATAAGCACAAAACCTGTAAAATGGGCTGATATCACCAACTATCTTTTTGGACTATTTCAAGTACAAGTGAGATAACACACATACATACATTGTGGGCTCTAAACAACGTGAAAATATTAGGAATAAAAGAATGCAAATCTACCTCCAATGCTACTCATTTCTTAAATATTCACAGACGCTAACATTTTCCAAGCAATCTTATTTTCAATAAAGCAGTTTCTAGAAGGTGTGAGAATAAATACTCTTCCCTAAGCCATTTTCATTTACAATTTAAAACAAAAAAAAAGGATAGGAACCCAGCACAGAGACATTGCCGTTGTCCCTGACGTGGTCTCACTGAAGGGAAAATAAAGACCACTGGTCACTTCATCCAAGTACTCAAAAGTGCCAGTGGCAGAGAAGCCCACGTGGTAGGTGTGCCCCACTTTCTTGTTTTAGCATATGGTTTCTAATATTGTCTTCCTATCCATCTGACATTAGATCACACATAAATGAGTCTGAAATACAGTTTTTAATATATATAATATATACATATATTTTACACAAATTCTTTTTCAGTTACCTGAGTTTATTTCTTGTTGTTTGTTTTCGTTGGTTAGAGGATTATCATACAATTTCAAGTATATTTCAATTGCTGATCTAGCAGCCTTGAAATAGAAGGCATGTCTTCTGAGAATATCTTCTAACCTCAATAGGTCAACATAGGCACGAAGGGTCATTTTTCTCATGCAGTACGTATGGAAGTCAAATTGATCATCAGTTATCTCAAAAAAATGCTTCAAAACAAAACCAAAAAATTATTCCTTACATTTATGTCATAGTGTCTTCTTTTGAACAGAAAATTGTAAAAAGCCTAAAGAACAATTTAAATAATCACAACTGTCCTCTCTGGTGCTGAACACTCTGAAGGACACCAAGTTCTTTGCATCCAACTTCTGTTTCTCTTCCTACAGTGTGCTTAGTCCCTATAAGCCAGTGGTTCTCAACCTGTGGGTTGCGACCCTTGGGGGGGTCAAACGACCCTTTCATAGGGGTCGGCCGATTCATAACAGTAGCAAAATTACATTGCTGAAGTAAATAATGTTATGGTTGGGGGAATCACCACAACACGAGGAACTATATATTAAAGGGTTGTGGCATTTAGGAAGGTTGAGAACCACTGCAATAAACCATGTTTTGTGGTGATGCTCAGCTTCCATATAATAACTCATATGATCAAATTGTTCTTTAAATCTGGAAATTTGTATATATCAGTATTTTTCTGCTAATGAAACACTTTTCTTCGTGTTTCCTAAAAACCTGCACGACAGAGTTTCACGAGCAGCTCTCAGTGCAAAGTGAAAACATGCAGCGTCACACTAAACGTTTACAAAGAGCTCTTCTCGGGAACGTGCTCATCTTGGCCCCACTGGCTGGCATAGGGTCCACACTAGGCAGGCTTTCAACAAGCACACTCCTTGCCAACAAGAAAGATAACCTGCTTCGGTAGCACACGGATTTGTACATTCTCCAAATTTCTTAAGAGTCTCAATTACTGACCTAAACTAGGAATAAAGAAATCGTTACAACCATTTCTAAGGCTGTTTAAAGGATAAGCGTATATGCCAACAAACATTCCACACCAGGAACTGCTACCCAACAATAGATCATCTCCCTCCATAACGGGACCTGTTACCTCCCTACTTTCCATTTTAGCTGACAGTCTTAATCTGGAATCACATATTAAAAGATAATAGCTTGATTTTGGGCATGAACTCAAAGTTCTTATGGAATTCTCAAAGGATCCATGACACCAAAAAGGGTAACAACTAATATGGAAAGGAGAACACTGACCCCACCACCCAATAAAACAACGTTATCTTTGTATTTTCCATGTATTTAAAGCTCTCTTGTCTTTATTTCCTATGTTAGCCCCTCCAACTACCAGAGAAAATAGCGATTTCAAGACCAATATGGGCCAGGTTCTCCTATACTTCATCGTCCTGGTGTTTGGGGGCCTACTAACTCATTATGCAGTGGACATACTCCTAATTGGCCAGTATCATTCGATAATTTTAGTTTTCTTGGTAAACAGAAGGAATCCTTGGATGAAGCAAATAGTTAAAATATTAATGTTAAGCAAGATGTTAAGCTGTTAAGCGAAAGTCTCAAGGTTCGAGTCTACCCAGATGTACCTCAGAAGTTGATCCACTTAAAAAAAAAACCTGCCTTTGCAAGAGCTATGTACACGGTTCTCTGGCACACACAGGAGGGCCGTGAGTCAAAAATCAACTCAATGACAACTGGGACTGGTGGAAGTTGGAAACACGGAGACCGACAATCACATTAAGTACCTGAGATGTTCAGAGGAAGTTAAAGATGGGAAGAAGGAAAAGCACAGAGTGCAGAGGGAAAGAAATAGAAGGCAAACATTTCATTTAGTTTACACTCATCACTTCAACACTTAGGCCTTAACGATGTGGCATTTCAAGACTGCAATTACTCTCCATCGGTAAGGCAAACCAACTTACAAACAATAATAAATAGTTAAACTTGCTTTCAGTTTTAAAAATCATAAAGTTGACAGTCGTTTTCCTGGGGGTAAGTAAAGTCATATCTACACACGAATGTCTTCAAATTCAGTGCAATTCAAGGAAAAATGGCAGTGCTGAAAGTCCTAGGACCCATGAGGCGAGCACATCTGAGAACTTACAGGACTCTTAGGCTGAAAAACATCTGCATGTGTAAAATGTCAGACACAAGCTTCAAGAAGTAGCCCCAGCAGCATGGGTACACATTAATCCAAAGTTGAGCCTCAGATAGTTTTAAGAGGGGAGGGAGCTAAATGGAACCACAGACAATGAAGCCTCTTTGTCAGTCACAGCTCACAGGCTGCCTCTCTCCAGTGGATGTCTTCCAGACATGGGGACAACTCATCCAACTCACCCGCTTTGCCCAAAGCTATCCCAGTTTGGCCGCTGACAGCTCTGCATCCTGGCAATCCCCTAGGTCCCAGGCAAATTTGAATGGCTGATCACCCTACAGTAAGCTAAAGAGCAATGCATAGGACACGACTAAATTAAATTATGAGGGGAGAGGTACCTGCAGTTATAGATTATTAATATTTTTGCTTTGGGAAGAAATGGTATACTGTACAATTCTACACATAAAAAGAACTAAAACATCTTGGGTTAATTTTTTAAAAACTTTTTTGGGGGAGCACACCTACAGATACAGAGGAAGTTACAAAGGTAGCACAGAGACACACACCCCGCATCCCCAGATCTTCCTGAAGGCTGCAGCCTATGTAACTATAGTACAATAGCAAAGCCAAGAAACAAGTATTGGTGCCAGGGTATGGTTCTACTAATTTTATCATGTGTACATTCATGTAACCACTACCACAATCAAGATACAGAACTATCCCATCGTCACAAAGATTTTCTTGTTATTGTCATGGGTTCATTTGTTCGAACCACATAAAATATGCTGCAGAGCACACACGAGAACACTGCTGTCCCTGCACGTTAGCCAAACCTGGTGAGTAGGACTGTGATGCTGTGGGCTCGCTGCAGACAACTAGGAGTCCACACCTTAACATAAAGCCCGCAGCTTGAACACGCTTTCCCTCATCTGAAACACTAGTTCTTTCTTTCTTTCAGGGGAAAGAAGCAATTAATGCTTCTAGGAATTACTCAAATTATCAAAATGAAGCTTGAATCACAGTAAAACAGTCCTATATGAGAACAAGCCACCTGCAGCTTGAGCGTGCCACCAGTTTTCTGTTCTGACTCAGATTCTAGGTGCAAACTACCTCTCCAAGTTTTCAAATAAGACATAGAAATAGAAACAGAAAAGAAAAACACTCTATACTTAACTCAACCAGGGTAACAGGGAACTCGATCTCCAATTCTATGGAATCTGTCAGTATAAAGCATCTATCAATTTGATAAAGATTAAGATGCACAAGAAAACAGTTATGAACTTCCTATAGTTTTCATCTATCATGAAACCAATATCATATCAACATGTTTCAGAAATATGTCTTGGTTGCCTGTCCTGCTTTGGATATAAATCAACACACTAAAATGATGCAAAACCAACTGCCTCAAGTCTAATACTAAAAGGAAAAGAATTCAGTTCTTGAAAGACAAAAAAGAATTTGAAAAATTATTCTGAACACAAGTGTATATTCAGTATTTTGAGGAAAGCTGTCATTTAAGAAAATAAAATTCAAGATTCAAACATCAGCTTGGTCTGGACTGTAACCTTTACCATGTACATGCACACAATCCTGTGAGGAGCAGGATGAAGACAGGGAAGGACTATGCTGAGTCATCCTAGAAGTCTAAAGTTTCAAACCCACAAAGCATCTGTGCCCAAGCTAAACTACGTTCGTGAAAGGACTTCTGAAAGAATCCCTAAAGGCACAGCATTTAACTCCGATTGTCTTCCTCCAGCTACTAAATAGAAAGGAAACTAAATGAATACGAATCAAGCTTTATTTTTGAAAGGGGCTCATTTTCTAACTAAATTTAAAATCCAGGCACAAAAGTAACTCTCATAGATACCTATCACAACAGATCTTTGAATTTCATAATTATTCCCAAACCCTGACAATTATATTAAAATAAGGATTTCTTTTGTTAATTTTATATGCAATTAACTTTAGAAGCACTAATCATTCAGTCAACAAGTATTTAATGATCTTATCTGTACTAAGCTCACATATATTTCTATGTATAATTACCAAGCAATTTAAGTCTTACTACTTTTACTAGATTCACTGTAAAAGGATTAGCTGAAAAGTGGTATAACAGCCACAGCAGACTCTTTTCTGGTTTATCTGATTCTAGGTCTTCCTATTCGTGACCATTAACAGAAAACTCTAAACAAAGGGAGTGAAAAGTTTCTAGCAATAATTATGTTAATGTGATGATTTCTGCCATGCTTTAATCTCAGATGGCCAATGACTTCTATAATTTTTTACTTCAAAAATGTTTTCTACGAAACTCATTTTAAGTTTTAAACTCATCACCAGTCATGGTGATGTGAAGGTCACTTGGGCTGCGATCCAGCCTGACTGGCAGTTCAACACCACCAGCAACTTCTGGGGAGAAAGATGGGGCTTTCTACGCCTGTAAAGAGTGATAGTCTCAGAAACCCAGGAAGGGGTCACTGTGAGTCAGCAGGGACTTGATGGCAGTGGGTTTGCTTTGTGGTTTATTTTTTCACACTAGAAGTACTTCCTCTGACACGATGGAACTTTATTCCATGCTACCCAGTCAAAACTTTTGGAGATGCATAATCTCCATGAAATTTAGTAATAGTTAAGCACTACTTATATTCTAATAACTCTCAAAAAACATTTTTAAAGAGAGTAATATGGTCAATAATGTTAGGAGGGATGGAAATTTAAGTTTAAAAAGTTCCCAATTAAAACAATCCTATAGGGTCACTATCCTGGTGGTGCCGTGGTTACACGCTGGGCTGGGGTCTATAAGGTCGGCAGTTTGAAACCACCAGTGGCTCTTTGCAAGAAAGATGGGGCTTTCTACTCCCATAAACAGTTACAGTCTCAGAAACTCACTGGAGCATCAACTCAATGGCAGTGAGTTTGGTTTGGGTTTTGTAGGGTCACTATAAGTAGTCTTCATAGTGTTATAAGCTAAAGTTGGACTGCTACCCACAAGGTCAGAAGTTCAAACCCATCAGTCACTCTATGGGAGAAAGATGAGGCTGTCTGCTGCTATACAGTTGTATAAAGCTTCGGGAACCCTATATTGAATCAACACAAGTCAGAATCAACTTTTTAGCAGTGGATTTGGGTTTGTTTTCTTAATTAGTGGATATTTAAATTTTACTTTCACTGAAGTATACGTACATTTGTATAGCACGGACCTGCTGAAACTACTGATCCCTGCTGAGTAGAAACAATCTACTTCTGACTGAGGATGTCTAGAATAATAAGAAGGTATCCTCTCTCACGAAGAGCGTTTTTAAGTGGTGGTCACCTCGGGTGTGCTGAAACCAGCTACGGCTCAACATTTTCGCTGCAGCACTACGAGCCGGGTGCAAGCAGCGAGTGTATGGATACTTCCCATAGCATCTGGGGGCTGTGCCTTTTCTCAGGGAGAAGAGGAGGAGGATTTCCCCGCAGATACAGCCCTCTAGCCCAGGCTAAAAAAGGCAAATGAACACAAAACTAGGTTACTTCTGAAAGGGCTCGCCGAGTCCTCAGTCCATTTCCCTTCAAAAGCCACCCTCTCAGATGCCTTTCCCTCCGGCCACCTCAGGAGTTGCACAGGGGAGAAAGGCCAAAGTGACTGCCAGGGTGCAGACATCAGGCTCACCTGACTACGATGCCTGTGGTTTTAAACTGCGGTCAGCATGGAACAGTGGTGTCGAGTGACGCCACAACTGACGGCTGCTGAGGACTGCCTCAAGGGCTGCATGGGCGGCTCTTTCCTCCTGTTGTCCATTTGGAAGGAGAATGCTTCAGAGATGACAAAGAACAGGAAAACAAAAATTCACACAAAGGAAAAGAAAAGTCCCCTCACTACACCTTTTTATAGTACGGAACAGTAGGCACATCACACACATCATCCTCAAAGCAAATCATACAGTGAGCCTGCAAACTGGCACAGATTGCTGTGCAAACTCCTGAGCGTGGGACAAGCTCCTGGAAGACACATCGGAGAGAGGCTGGCTGTGGACTGGATCCTGAAGAAAGAGGCGAGGGCTTGCCATCAGCTTGGGTGACCTTTTAGGCTAGCGATGCAAATCAAATGATGGCCCAATAGAGAAGAAAAACTTGAATTTATGTTAATAATAATGGTTCAGTAGTCAGCTGTGTCCTACTTCCCTCAGACAAAAATTTAGACAAGCCAAAATCACAGAAATTTGAGGATCCAGTAAAGCAAGCCTAAGTTCACCCTTAGTCTTAATGTGTGGAAGGCCACGATCAAGACTTCCCTGTGCACAACGAGGCTCGCAGAGTAGTGAGACGAGGCCGAGGAGCTCCTCTGTATGAATCTACCTGGTTTTGTCATCACCTTACAATAGAAAAGTTGAAGTCAAAACTTTAACAACTTACCCTTTCTACTTCATGGCATTTTTTCAGGGCATCTCCATATTTCCCCAAACGCTGATAAGCTGAAATACATTCTGTCTGAAACCACATACACTGCATTTCATTGAGATTGTCCATGGCAGATGTTCCTTCCTGGAATGAAAGCATTTCATGACTACAGGAAGCAAACAATGACACAGATGCTAGACATCTCATTAGCTCCTTACCAGGTAAGTGACAAGCGCTCTGATGACAATAAACAGGAGTTAACCAATGGAGGTGTGTCAAAAGATATTGCTACAAAATCACAGACTGCTTTATTAAACAACAGCATCAAAATGTGAAGCTGTGGTTACTCAACATATCCTCCCCCAAGGTCTGCACACCTCTGAAGGCAGTGTTCCCACCTTGCTGATGGCATCATCAGGGACTCAATAATGATCCTTTTCAAGGTTCTTTGCGTTTAGGGAGCAAAAAGAAGTGGTAAAAAGTCTGTAAATGGATAGGGTCAGTCCCCGTCCCCACCCCAATTCATGTGGGGACGGGCTTTACCACCCTTGAAGAATGAGCATGTACATTGTTCTGATGGGGGGGGAAATTCTCACTGTAACTTTCCCAGCCTTTTTCTCACCAATGCAGTTTTCTATTTCCTCAAAGCTTCTTCATAACAGGCTCCCACGATAATTCTGTGCCCTTATTTAAAAATCTATCAAGATTATCTCTTGGGAATCCTTCCCCTACCCTACCCTCCACCCCTCAAAAACATCAGTCACCATGACCTTCTGAACTGACTGGCCACTCTATCTTGAATTCACCTGGTCTAGGAAGCAGATCCATGCGGACTGGCCTTCTTTTCTGAAGGCACCCCAGGAGACTGAGATAAGTGTAGTCTCGATTTCTGTCTGCAGACACCCACAACTGCAGATATGCTTACACACACTTTGTATGAAATAAACCTATGCATGTATGAACTAGCAAACCTAGTAGCAATGTTCTTTACTCTCTCTTATCTTGACAGTGTTTACAAGGGCTCCTATTAGTTTTAAATGATAGAATGCTTAATGGTCCAGCCATCTATGAGTATTCAATATGCTACAGATTTTAAAAATGTCAAATAGTTCTGAAGCACCAAAACTTTTACTTAGATTATGACAATACTCTTTAAAAGCATTTTATAGCTTGCATTTTAAGCAAGAGCTACTTAGCCTTCCCTTGTTGACCCAGAGTCACTATTACGCACTTCTGTTATTGTCAAGTCAGCTAGGAACAGTACCCCTTCTGGTTATCTCCATGCCAGGTTTCCCCTGCACAGGAGGCTGACAGTCCTCACGGTCTTTGTGCCAGTGTCTGCTTCTACCAGCATCTCCTGCACTGTGCCAACTCACCAACTTTACCATTTCTCCTTCGCAGTAGGCTAACAATAACTGAATTTCTTACAAATATTTTAACTCAAGTTCAAGAAGAATAAGTTTAAGACATGAATGCCCTAGTTTTAGTACAGATACACTTGAGTTTTGTCAAAATTCAGAAAAGTTATTTTAAGTATATTTTATGTGACCCTAAGAAAAATGATAAAAGTACATTCCTATAAGTAATTTCCGTTCAATTTTCTGAATTCTCATTAAAAACCTCAAAGTGGTCACATTCAATTGTACATAACAGGGTCACTACGAGCTGGAACCATCTCAGCAGCACTTAATAATATGAACATAAAGCACATAGCTCAGTGCTTACTACGTATTCAGGTCACGTTCTATTTCCCCTCAACAAAAGCTTTGCAAATTATTTATTTATTGGCTTTTCAACACTTAAAAAATTTAATAAATCATTTTATTGGGGGCTCTTACAGCTCTAATAACAACCCATCCATCAATTGTATCAAACACATTTGTACATATGTTGCCATCAATATTTCCAAAACATTTTCTTTCTACTTGAGCCCTTGGTATCAGCTCCTCTTTTGCCCCCTCGCTTCATGATCACCCTCACCCTTGTGAACCTGGTAATGTACACTGTCCATTGTCTCCCTTCACCCACATTTCTGTTGTCCATCCCCCTGGGGGAAGGGAGCTGTAGGTCGATCATTGGGATCAGTTCCCCCCTCATGGTATGGCTACTCTCATTATTGGTCCTGAGGGGTTTATCTGTCCGACTCTGTGTGTCAAGAGCTCCTATCTGTACCTATGAACGTGCTCTGTACGCACAGTACTTAAAGACGGCCAGCGCAGGGTCACTACAAGTCACATTTACCCCATCGCAATGGGGGGCATCCGATGAGAAAGCACCTTTTAAGATAAAAAGTAAGTTGCAAATGGTCTACAGTAGTGGTCTTTGATGAAAATTAAATATATATATAAAACACACCATTTGTCACATATCTTCTTTTTTATTTATTTCTGTGCTTTATGTTAGGTTCCTAGTTGGCAAAATTGGTTTGTGGCCCATGACAAACGTAAAGGTTGTGAGTATGAACCCATTCACCTATACCACAGAAGAAAGGCCTGGTGATGTCTCCATAAAGAGTATTGTCAAGATAGCCTGTGGAGCAGTTCTACATGAGTCAGGAGCAACTTGACAGCAACAGGTTTGGCATTTGTGTTTGTGTTTATTTAGTTGTTGTCATCACCCCAAGTTGTCATCAAGTGCCACTGAGCTAGTTCTGACTTAGAGTCACAGTGTCAGTCCGTCTCGGCAAAGATTTTCCTCGTTTCTCACTCATCTCCTCCTGCCCGAGCACAGTGTGCACATTAAAGGCTCATGCTATTCTGTGGCTTCGGAAGCACAGAGATGTTTCCAGAAACATCCAGACACAAAAAGATCTGGTTAACATTTAAGGAAGACAACAAACTGGCCTCACATAGTATAGCAGTAACTCTATTCCATCTTAAAAAAACGTACTTGCAAGCACCAGTACTAAAGCCTTTAAGGTATAAAGTTCCTTGGAGATAATTTATTCCAAAATTTGGAAATAAAACTTACAAGCATAATCCCCTTATCCTGTCTCAATATCATGTTCAATGTGCATTATATAACCATTTCAGCAAGTTCTTTGCCAATCTATATAAATCCTTTTTTTTCCCCTCACGTGGGTTGGAAATATCTTCTCTAGTTCTATGCCCAATGGGTTTTCTTGGTAGGATTATGTATAAATTTCTATTTTTAACACAGTCAAGTACATCAGTTTTCTTCTTTTTAACATTTTGTACTTTATGACTTAAGGAATACTTCCTAGGGGAGGAAGGAAGGAAGGGACAGAGATTAGGGGGATGAGAAAGAAGCGTTCCCTATCTTAGAGCCCTCTAAGCATGTACTCCTATACTTTCTTCTGGAATTTTTAAAGGTTTGGTCATTAACCCACTTGAAACTGATTAATGTATGGTGTAAGTTAGGGAATCTCTAACATAAATGACGAATTCACCAAGCAACATATTCCCCTCTCTGTCTTTTGAAGTGCCTCTGGCCATCTATCAAGTTACTAAGTATGTATAAATCTGCGTTTGAGCTTTATATCTGTTCCATTGGTCTGTATACATATTCAACCATGAACATGTATGGATACAGTGGTATATTAGAAAGTCTGTGTGGGAAAGGACAAGAAAGAAAGGAAAAGAAATAGTTTAGTTCAACAACTTATGAGAATTTAAATTCTAGAATGTCACAAAGAATTTAGTTCTCCACAGGAAGATTCCTGGGAGCAATTCTGAAATAGAACACTAGGAAAGTAAAAATATTTTAAAAGTCAAAAATTAATAGTAAGAAAAAAAATTGAGAACTTTACACATAAGTTCTGAACTACAGCATATTGCTAGGTGTTTCTGTCAAAGTGCTTTGCTACTGTTATTGCCTATGAACTAGCCCCAACCAGAAACATTCACACCTAGTAAGAAACCACTGTTTGGATATAAATGAAATGGGACGTTTAAAACGATAGCAAGCATTCATTTGTATGAACTTTAGTAGCAAACATTACAAAAGATCACAGAACTTGAGGTTAATTTTACCAACTCGCTCACACATGCTATTTCCTACCCTTGTGAACTTGGAGCACATTTCCTCTGCTTCTTTTACCATATTTGCTCGAAGCAGATATTTTGCACATTTAGAATTAATGAATCTATCAGCTGTGTCCAAAGACTGTGCTTCATCCATCCACTTTGCAGCTTCTTTAAGATTACCTATATGCTACAAGAGATAAAAGCAGGAAAGTAATCAGAGCTTATGATAAAGAGAATCTGGGTGCAACCCACATCCAACCAAAACACATTCCCAACTGGGTGGATTCCCATTCATAGCCATCCTATACAGGGTTTCTGAAGCTGTACATTCTTATAGGCGCAGAAAACCTCCGTTTTCTCCCTTGAAGCAGCTGGTGGATCTGAACTACTGGCCTTGCAGTTGGTAGACTGATGTGTAACCCAGGATGCCACAAGGGCTCCATATAAATGCAATATAAGTTGAGAAAATTTATAAAAACCAATTTGAAATTTGGCAAGGTTTGTTAAATTTATCTAGAAATTTCTTGATAAATTACAATTTATATTTACTACAACCTGAATCAAATAACAATGATTATACCAACCACAACATGAAATCCCTTAGTATTATTAGAATGTTAGAAACACATTATAAGTATGTCTTAGAAATATTTTCTGTATAGAAAGACTGCCAATGGATCTTAAATTGGACGAATTCTTTATATATATATATTTTTTTAATTACTAAGATTTTACCTTGTAAATTCTTGCTTTTATATAGAATAACTCAATTAGAGTTGGAGTACTAGCAATTGCAACATTAGTATAATCCAGAGCCAAAGAATATTGCCCAAGCTTATCAAAGTGTTGGGCCAGGAAATAGCGAACCCAGAGCAGTGTTGTTGGGGGTTCTCTTTCACCATTCTCTGCAATCAAACAAATATAAAATTATTATATGAAAGAAGGTAACGTAAGGCAAATCAGGGCCTCCCCCTCATTTCACAATCGAATTAATAACACAGTAAAACAAAAAAGCTAGTAAAAATAATTTCACCAGGGCCTTTCTGCATAAAGGTCAGAATGTGGCAATCCAGGAGATAAGCAGATTGTGGTCTGCCCCCAAGCCATCTAACCCTATCCCTCTCCAAGTACTTCTAACCCCTGCCCCACTCCAAAGGCTTCTAACCCCTACTCCACTCCAAAGACGTCTAATCCCTATGCCACTCCAAAGAAACAGTGCTGGGGTAAAAGGAGGCAGCTCACTCTAAGGTTGCAAATCTTCAGGCTGAGGGCCTAGACGGCAGTTTAGAAAGCTCAAAAACCAGAGAAATGTGAAGAGATGCCTTTCACGGTCACTGAAGATTTCAACAGAGGCAAGATCTGCCACGACTTAGCATTTTCTAGGTCTCTACACTGAATCAGAGAAACTGGAAGTTGAAAGTTTGATTTTGGAATTCCAGTGTTGACCAATAGAAGATTGAGTCAATTCTGTCTCAAAGAGGCCCTAAAGGTCGGGCAGAACAGTCTCTGTGAGTCTCTGAGATTGCAACTCTTGATGTGAACAGAAACTCCTTTCTCCCGTGGAGTAGCTGGTAACTTCCAATGCTGAGCTTGTAGGTAGCATGGATGGCAGTAGCAGCCCAATGTATAACCACTCCCGACTATCTGACCAAAAAAACCCACCCTACAAACAGAGAGACCAGCTGGCCCAAGTCCTCTAACAAAAGATGTCACCAAGCCAGCTGAGTTCCATCCTCAAGCTTGAGCACAGAAATAAGAAGCCCTCAAAACAGACTGGAGAAGTCAAGACATCTCGGTACAAAATGAGATGGAAAGGGCACAAAGGAGAATTGATGTGCCCTATGTTGGAACAAACAGAACTGTCTCCTTGACTAGCTGACCCGATGGCATGACAACAATGTAAATGCACTGCAGAAAGAACACATAAAAACTATATCATGAATAAGCAGACTCTAGTCTGTTCCTCTTGCATCACCTGTATTTCTGGGAACCAAATATTATATGTGGGAAAGTCCTTTACTAAAAACTCAAGTGAATAAATGCAGAAAAACTGATGGGAGAAGTAAAATAAGGGACCTAGAAAAGTATCACTAATGGTTGTTAAGTCATTAGGTGAGATGCTGATGAAAACAGAAAACCAGCTGCCACTGAGTCATTTCCAAGTGATGCAACATCTGCAAGAGTGAAACCGGGCTCTGGAAGGCTTCTCAACAGTTGATTTCTCAGAAGTAGACGGCCAGCCTTTCTTCTCAGTGCCTCTGGGTGGACTCAAACCTCCAAGCTTTCAGTTAGTAAGTGAGTCCGTTAACTGTTTGCACTACCCACATCCTCCAAAGGGGCTGCTGAGTCCTTTTAAATAGACAGATTAGGTTGAAGAAGTCTGAACCCGATCAATCTAACATTCACAAGAATGGAGACAACAAGATTACCTTATGAACCCCCTGAGGTGACACAATAGGAAGTACACAGATCTTCCAACAGCGTTATATAAATCTGAATCTGAACAGGTCTATAAATTTAACTATGTGTTCACAAGAATGAATGGTGGTGAAATCTGCTAAATGATACCAAGAGAGCCATGTGTCAAATCCAGGATCTGTGACAGCCCACAAATGACTTTCCATAATATATATGATATTTTTTAAAGAGGGAGCCCTTTCTGCCTCTGCTGCCGCCATGGCACCTGTGAAAAAGCCTGTGGTGAAGGGGGGCAAAAAAAAGAAGCAGGCTCTGAAGTTCACGCTGGATTGCACCCACCCTGTAGAAGATGGAATCATGGGTGCTGCTAATTTTGAGCAGTTTCTTCAGGAAAGA